TGTCACACGATGACCCGCAGTGACTCTACCCTAGACTCAAAACCTAACCCTAATCCCTACTGTACTCACTATCTGATAGTTTCTTCTGAATAACGGCTTGAGGGCGGTTTACTAGCAGAGGGTGCACACTGAGTTAGAGCAGGTGAATGACTATAACTAGTCTGGCCCTAACTGGCGCAGACCTACTAGCTTATATACATGCTGGGTAAGCCCCCCTAATACTGTAAGACAAGACCCCTTGGTACTTGTGCTCACTACCCTATTGGCTATCTACTAAACACCTACTGACCATCTTACTAACTGGTGTGGATGACAAATCCCCAAGCCGGGATCTGACTAAAATATCAGGTGACGTGTGGGTCTCAATCACTAAGCGACGCTGAGTAGAACTGCTTAGTGAGCTGTCACCTGATTGACAACCACGTCCTAGAACCTTCTAGCTGGTTCTCTACTATTCCGTAGATACTCCAACGTGCATCTAATCTATATCTAATCGCTATCTGATAAGATAAGATAGGTGCGCGCTTATTCTGGAATAATTTTGAAAAACTGTGACAACTACCAGTAGTATCCGGGGTCTGGTCCCACATGTATAAATACCAGAACAATCCAGCGTAGTATGGCAGTCTGATCTTACAGATCTACCCTAGCGGCTTGGGGTGAGATCTAGGGTCAGGACTCCCCGCTAGGGACCAGGTGGGTTACAATAGGTTAGACGGAAGATACAGGGTTAATGAAGACTCTCAGTCAGAGATGTAGAATATGAACCAAAGTGCATCGCCATGATTCAGGGTATCCAGGGGTTAGGTGGTGAGCCCAGGTCCAATGTGACCAAAAACCCATGCCAGTAACCAGATATGTCTGGCATGAATATCCTGGGGCAGAACAGGGATCATGAATATGGGATGACAATAAAGTTGCATATTACTTATCCAAAGGCTGCAGATGACATCACATGTATCTATGTTATACAGATCATACACCGTCTACTTCACTCTAAACTCTTTCTCTGAGCTAACCGCTCTCAAAGACTAAGCCCAGCTTATCACCTTTGCAATCACCAGAATCATAGTGTTACAGCCACGAGAGGGGGGTTTCTATCTTTTCCTAACTATTCATCATTGACCCTGTAAACTGTACAATCGATCTCATCACTTGATGTGTTTCACCTACATCAGTGTTTCATATTTATCATGTTTCATCTATATCACGTTTCACTTACATCATGTTTCGTCTCCATCGCGTTTCACCCTCATCACTGATACAACCCAGTGAAACCTGTTTCATGTACATCACTGATCCAACTCAGTGTTTCATACATATTAAACTCTATTTGCTTTGCCTATTTAAGTAGCACTGCTTCCGTTACTGTACTCTAGTTTTGTCCTCTTGTTCCCTACGTACCTTCATAGGGACATCTCTCAGTTAATATTCTCCACACTTGTCTATTCAAGTCTAGTCTTCAGTCTGAAGCTTCACTTCAACCAGTATACATTCTCAAACTGCTATCAGACATAGCGGCTCAGTCTACAACCTTAGTCTCAGTAGGACTATAGCATGTATAAGTCCTAGTACCAGTTAACAGT